TATTTGTACAAAATTTTAGATTGGGACCATTACTGGGCCAATAGTTATTACCTTTAAATTAAAATAGTTTGGCTTAATTCCTAAATTATGCCAAATATATAGTAATTTACGAAACAAATAAAAAGAAAATTCCTTTATGATCTAGCCGATTATATTTTTTAATAAATGTTTCGGGCTGTGAGCCCACTAGCAGACATTATATCATATTTAACATATAAGTTTAGCGATTTTATTTTAGACAGAAAATAATTGTAAAAATAATAACTTTATTTAGCTAATTATTTATATTACATGAATATCAAATGGAAAATTAATATTGTTATAAACATATTAAATAAATAATATCATACATTAAATTATCTAATGAATTAGAATAATGTTTGACTTTCATTTTTCCTTCCATTGGAATAAATGAATGATATTTTTGTGTCCCGGGAATTAGTTTGGCCGTTAAAAATCTATTTTCGAGATTGGTTTTTAAATATTCAACGTTGCTGACAAATGTATAATTAATAGCCGGGATATTAATTCTCGTATAATTATATAAATTCATAGGAGTTAATATGTGATTCTCATAAGGACGTTGCAGGCTTGCTCTAGTAGCCAACCTCTTTGTAATTCCCCCTAAACTATCGCAAGGAGTTTTGCCATGTGCAGTTGCAAAAAAATGCCATTCTACTTTGACCCCAAAATCATTATAATGGTTGTAGAAGTTTACAAAGTTTTTTTTTGTTCTTATACTGGGTAACGGCTCCATCAGAAAAATAATAAATTATTAAAATCTTATCAAATCTTTCTTTCAAGAATTGAATTAAATTTATTTGAAATAAATAAAAGGAACAAGTATTGTGTTTTAGACAATCTGATATAACTACGTAATTTATATGTTTGATGGTATACCGCATTCGCAGTAATAAATCATAAATGGATGAAGTGTTGCTTGATTATTAGTCCAATGGAAGCCTTGAGCGTGATCTTGAACTACAAAAGCGTAGTTCTCTGCAAAATCGGATATTATTAGATATTCCCCATCCTTCAAATTCGATTTTAATGACTTAAAAAATGAATATTGTTTCGAAGAAATAAATGCATGAGGAATTGAAATATTTAGAGCCAAATTTTTTGATTAATTGATAAGCTAGAATTCACTTCTATCATTCATTGTATAACATTTCTAAGATCGTAACGTACTGAATGAGATTTTATTCTAAAGGGATTACAGCACTTTACTGGAATAGAAATAACTTTTCTAGACATTTAAATTTTTTTGGTAAGGAATAAAAGAGAGCTATTAATTTTATATAATTATTTTAAATTAAAAATAAATTGGATAATGAATACCGATAATTTAATTTTCTTAAAAAAATAGCTTTATAAAATTAATCAATAAAAATGACCGCTGTTGCTGTTGGAATTGAATTTGATTTTTATAATAATTATTTTATTTGATAATTAATTATAAGTAGAAAATAATCTTTATGAAAATATATTTCTGACGATCACAAAGATAATTTTTTATCCGGCAAATAAAATAATCTACATAATTCACTCATAGAATTGCCAGGTCAAAAATCTCGAATTTAAAAAGAATTTTTTTTTTTGGAGGGTGGGGGGGGGGGGGTGGTGAATATAAATATTAAGATGGGGTTCGGATTTTAGTTTTAATACTATTATTCACAAATATTATAACTTTTGTTAAAAAAATAATTACTCATTTCGTATAATATAGAATTTAAGCCATAATATTTATATTTAAAGCGTAATAACTATTGGCCCAGTAATGGTCCCAATCTAGGATTTTGTACAAATATTAAGATATATAATGTCTATTTGTTAAAAAATTTTGAAAGAAAAAAAAGTGCAATTTTTATTTTATAACCATTTCCGGTTTTTGGTAATAAAATTATTTTTAATAATAAATTTTATATCATATTAAAGGGCTATTTTAGAGTTATTTAATAAAGTTTAAATTATACCTTTAGCTTAATTACATTTTGAGATATTTAAAATTAAATATGGTGTATTTTGAACTTTTCGCGTTTCTAAAGATGGCCATATCTCATGAAGTAAGCTGAGTTGAGAATTAAGATTTTATATTATTGCTAGTTAGTGTATATACTACCATCATGCAAATTTTAAAAAAAATCGAAGAGGGTCGGGTTGAATCTTCAGTTGATTTGATATGGAATACAACATATATATAACAATTAAGATTTAGTAAATATATCACAAGAAATAATAAGAATTAAGATATAAAATTAATCCTAATATATAAAAAATATGGGAAGATTATATTAAATCATTTTTTTTATGTGGCTTGTTGTCAGCCATTAAATGAATGAAATAATATAATCACAAAATTTCATAAATTAACAAAGTATAATGCATTCAGCTCAAAGGACAAGTAATTCTTTTAAATGGATCATACATAAATATTAAAAAGATAAGAAATCCTATAGTATTGTAGATTTCAAATAAAATCATATAATTTCCAGTTGCATGATGGGTAAATGTGGGCCATAGGCCCACAGGGGGGTTTGGGGGGCAAAGCCTCCCAACTATGGGGCCTCTTTTGGGAATCTTCAATGGGGCCTTTTGTCTCCCAGTCCACCCCAGTTTTAGGCTTAAAATTTCCACTTCTGCATGTTTCTGCTATAAAATTCTCCATGTATAATTTAGATTAGAGATGTATCAATTAGATTCATCTATGGCCCAAGTCACTCACACAATCAATATGACATCAACAAGGACCCAAATAATATTAATGGGCATTTTATGTCAAATTAAACACCTTTCAATTTCGATAAAAGTGGGTATGTTATTTATGTTCAAATAATGTATAAAACAAAATTTTAACTCGTTAGCAATTATATTACCTTAGATAAGTGAATTAAAGGTATAAAAATTTGGTTTGATGTTAAATTAGTCTTAAATTAAAAACTAAATTAGTTAAAATATTGAATCTAAAATTCAAATTTAAGTGGGAAACATCAATATTAAATTCTTTAAATATTGATCATCTTATGTTCAATAGAAAATTTAAAATTAATATTTCAAAATGATTATAAGCTTCAATATACCTTATTCATTTACTATATTTCTAAAAAAAATTTATATCAAGTGCCTACAAATTTTTATCCAAATTGAAAGGGGGTAGGTTAAAAATCTCAATTTATTTGCTATTTGACATGAAATGACTGAATGTTATATAGAAATGCATTGATACACTTTTTTAGATCCTAATAATAAACTATTAACTATAATTGTCAGACACATAGCCAGGAATAGCACAAATATAAATTATTTAAAACAAAACATTATTAAATTTTTTGGAAACAATACAAATTAGTATAAGCACAAATTAGGTAACCTTTTCTTCATTACAAGGAATAAAAACATCACTAAAGTAATAGTACAGCATAAAATTGATCGAATTGACTAGCTTTACTTAATATACATCAAGATCTAAACCCCCAATCACAAAGAAGATTAAATTTTCATTTATGAATAATATTTTGATTAACTTTTTAAATGATCATTTACTATTATTTACCTACCAATTTTATAACTAAAATATTTTTTAACAATATTATATTCCCTCTTAAAAGACTCTACAATATATTTTAAAGTATATAATACTTTCAATGTGTTTCTTGGAGGATTATCTTCTAAAAGTATTCTTTCATACCAAGATTTAAATTCTGAAATAAATTGGTCTTCAGATACATTTATATCCTATGAATAAAATTTGGCTAAATATTAATTTTTTTAATATAAAGATTTAAAATATGCTCAAATCAAAGAGAGTTATATATATAGTAATTGTAAATTGTATAGAGCCATTTGATAAATCACAAATCGTTCATTGATTTGAGTCTAAAATATTTCCAAAAGTGAAATATAAACAATTATTTTATAGTAATCCACAATTGGGTCGATGTTAATATTGGAATGATTAGTTTGCCTAGGAGAAAGTCAAAGCTTGTGAATCTCAAAATGATATCTTTGATTTAAATTTTGCCTCACTGGTTATCTCTTAGTTTTCCAAAATATACTATACGATTTTCATAAATTTTGCCATATATTTATGAAAAATATTGCATAGCATTCTTGTCTAATAAATAATTTATAAAAATCAGAAGTCACATTGAACCAAATAATACATCTGATTCAGGTGAATTATCTAGTTAAGCCCATTTTAATATTTCTCCAAGACTCAAATGGGCTCTTTAGATCCAAAAATGCTGGAGCAGTTTGATATTGAAGCCTCCATCTTCTTGAGCATGCTTTTGCAAGAAGTATAAGAAATAATTCTCATAAAATTCTCTCTATTTGGATATCTGAACTGCATACATTCTAGACTAATTTTATTAGAGATAAATTAAATAGATTTTTTTGCTTGATATAATTTTCTTTTATCCATCAGTGTTTAAAGTTATAAAAAATGTAAAATAAAATAAACTTTAAATTTTTGTAAGATAAAATATTAAACAAACAAGGAATAAATATTAAAAAATTAATTCAAACTTTCAGCTAATATTTAAAATAAACCTATTTGAAATAGAATACTATCCAATTCACACTCCCCCACTGGCTATTTGTCTGCATTGACAATGCAATTTTGTGTAGAAATGTATTCAAAAGAAAGTAGTGTGCAATGACTAAATCTACAAAAAAGGATAGCTATATCATGCTACATTAGCAATACTAATATTGGCTAATCAAATCTTTAACAATAAAATTATAACTTTATATAGGGAATAGAATAGCAAAATATATAAATAAAATATAAGCATACAAAAATAAGAATATACTATTTGTTAAATCCGTAATATTAAGCCAATAACCAATATTTAAAAAATTGTAAATCAAATTTGGTACACCTTATAAATTATTGTAGGGGAAGTATAATAACAACTCTTTCTCACTTTCTTTCTTTCTTTTATATTTTTAATAAAGAAATATATAAAATAACACTATTAAATTTAGAAAATACTAACCAAATATGATTATATTTATCAGGAATCTGGAGTTGAGCATCTTTTGCAGAGTATATTTGATAATTTTGAAAAAGTGAATTCAATATAAAGGCAAGTGTAGCTAACACATAAATTGTGTCAGTACTAATTGATTGGGTTAAACTAGCTAATATTGGAGATAATCCAAAATTAAATGCAGTAAATATGGCAAAAACTTTAAAAGTTTTTAAAAAATCAAAAACATAAGATCGAATATCTTTTGAGACTATAATTAAAAACCAATATTTAAAATTAATAAAATACCTGAATTAATTTTAAACAGCATGAAGTTCCCATAAATCTTACAACCCCCATGTTTTTTATTCTTACTATTGTCTCCAACTACATCACTTTGATAATTGTTCCAAAAATCTGGTTTTAATTTACATGAATATTTTTTTTCATATGAGCTGTATAATAATCCAACTGAATTTAAGAATAATGTTAAACATAAAGCAAACTCTAATATAAGTGCTTGCAAATTGGTTAGATAAAAAGTCAACCATTCTTCCTGAGTTGATAACATATAAGCAAAAATAGTTGCTATATATAATAGGGTGCAATTTATATGTTGGCTAATAATACAAGAGTGATAAGACACCGTTGAAAAATCATAGTTTACAATGTTTATATTTTTTTTTAAGCCATCAAAAAAGGTTCTTGCGTCTACATAATTATCAGGAAATCCTTGGTCTCCTTGATAAAGGATTTTTTGCCATTTTCTTAAATTTTTAATCATCCCTATCCCTAATCTTACAAATAATCTTGATTTGAAAATAATGTCAATCATAAAAACGCCATTATAAAAATAAAAATTATACATACTCGCTATTTCAACATTATGATTGCCTCCCCTGGCATCAAGGAGCTTGAGGCCCCTTAAGAATTTGAATAGCTACAAGAAGAAAAATTTTTTTTATTCCTTAATATCCCCTTGAACTAAAATAAATTTTATTGATTGTCCCCTGAAAGATTTCTTTTATAATTCTATTAAACAGTGGCGTTTCTAGGGAGGAGCACGCATAGGCTAGAGCCCCCTAAAAATTTTTAATAGGCCTCTGAAGCAAAATTTTTTTTAATGGCTTCTTAATAACCCCTTGAATTTAAAATAAAATGTTTTGAATGCCCCCTGAACGATTTCTTTTATAATTTTATTAAATAATATATAGATGTAAATTTATTATTTAAAAAATAATAAGACTATCTAAATTTTTATTAAATGAATACTATTTTAATCATTAGATTAGATTAATACATATAAATTATATTTTCACTAGATCAGCTTGCAATCAAATTCTGTGTTAAGAGTAGAACATAGGCGTAACCGGGGGGGAAGCAAGGGAAAATCTCCCCCCCCTTCAGAAATTTATCACTTTTCGAGGATATCATTTTAAGCTAATAAAAAATATCCCCTTTAGTCCTCTCTTCACACCCTGACCTCTAAAAATGTATGCATATCTTAAACAATAATTTGAAAGAAAGAATGTAAAAGTTGATATTTTTTTTAAACTAAAATTATTCATCATAATTTAAACATTTTTGAAAAAAAGCATTTATATATAAAAAAAAGTGAACAAAATGTTTTTTAAGATGGAATATAAGCTAAAGATGTCTTAAGACAAAAGTTAAATGTATCATATTTACTAATAATAGATCCATATAATTACAAAATAATATAATATATATGATATTATTTTTTATAAAGTGAGTAGCTTTAATTTATTTATCTTCATGAAGTAAAATATAAATATAAAACTATTGATAAAATTAAATTATAACTTAAATAAAAAAATTAATGAACAATACAAACCGGGGAATATTACATGTCGTAGATTTACAGTATTTTATCAATTATCGTATCAAATATTTTTTACCAATAGTGAATTATACAATGGTATATCATTGGAATTATATATTTTACAGAAGACTATAAAATATGATATGGACATCAGAAAATATCTTTTAAAGAATATAAATGAAAAAAAGTTCTATATTTCAGTAGCGTCAATATCTAATAAGGTACATCCATTGTGGGATGAATAATATAATGATTAATTTTTATCATTATATTTTATTCAAAATAAATAGATGACGTTAAATAATTGAAAGCTAATTGTTGCTTATATTTATTGTTAAAAACATTTATTGGTTATGTTTATTAAAATATTAATTGCAATATATTCTATAACTGTCAAATATGTCTGTAAAAGTGGCATTTTACCTAAAATTTTGTAAGCAATTTTTATAAAATAGCGGAATATCAACTATATGTCTACTTACTTTTTATAATGAAAAAATTATTACAAAGCTTCCCGCGTAATATTTATTAATAACATTTTATCACATTTTCAAATTTAATACTAAATGTTGATTTGAACAATTTGGCGTTAAATTTGAAATTTTACTGTACAATATAGAATACAAGATTCATTACTATATTGAAGTTATTATTATAATGTATATTTATTTTTTTAGATCAAACTATAATATCGGTGGGGGGTATGCCATGTAAACACTAAATGAAGTCCTATGAAGAAAATTCAAAGTTATGGATATTTTTAAGAAGCTTTACACTTATCAGAAGATACTCAAGATAAGATATTTTGTTGATTATGTACTTCCAGCTTATACTATTTATAATTATAATATGAATTTTCTTATCTTATATACATTTGAATCATAATCAGTACATAGATAGTTACAGCTAAAGATAGGTTTTGGTCTTGTGGAACCCTAATTATGGACATGTATAGAACTATAATGATCTTGCATTTGTAAATCTCTTAGTTACACCTAAAGAAAGGTTTTGGTACCTGTGGAACCCTAATTGTGGACATGTTTTTAAACTGTAATGATATTGCATCTATAAATCCCTTTTAAGGAAGTAGCATTTTAACTATAATGTAGATAAATACATCATTTTTTTACACATATACCTTTAAACTGGAATGATTACATTTGATCTATTTTAAATTTGTTGTGTATATCAGATAGATATAAAAGACCACACAATTTGGTTATTGAACATTTCATTTCACTCTTGATAGTATATATTTACATTATTTTTGTAATTTATAAGTTTACACAATTAGATATATAGAATATTATTCTTTATAAGGATTAAAAGACATGCAATTTTATATTGAATATTTATTTTTATTCCACTCAGTAAGTATAAATTAACTATACAATTAGATTTATTATAATATTCTACACTTCCTTTTGCAAATATAAGTTTACTTACACATATACCTTCTAAACTGGAATGGTTACATTTGATCTATTTTAATTTGTTGAGTATATCAGATCCAAAGTAAAGTGAAGGGTTACACAATTAGATATATTGAATTCCTTATTCTTATAAATATAAGAACCAAAAGATCACACAATTAGGTTATTGAATATTTTATTCCATTCTTGATTGTATATATCTACATCCTTCCTTTTGCAATTTATAAGAGCAAAAGATTATCCAATTTTATATTAAATATTATTATTCCACTCAATTCCCTTTGAAGCTGAAATGGTTACATTAAATTGAACATAGACTATGATTACTGTATTGTATGGGTTGAATCATTAATAAAAAAATAACACTATATCTACTGTTCTGGCAAATTTTTTTAATTTAATCATATTTATTTACAGATTCTATGCACATAAAATCTCAATAGTGATAGTAATCATTAAAACTTACACTAAAGAATTAAAACTTAAAATCAGCCATCACACCTTTATAGTATTATAAGTATACTGTAGTTATCGGGTATAGGCTTCTTTTTTTTTACCCCACTCCTTTTTTTAAGCAACTTTTTTTGAAATGTTGCGCTTACAAATGTACGTGCTGCTTGCCAACAAACGTGTGAAGGGCTCCTTATTTTTCTTCTCGTAATTAACCGGTATGACAAAATACCAGAGTTTTACAAAAATCTTCAAATAAAAATTTGAACATTTTTTTCGCCCAAAATTTTGAGGAAAAAATTTTTGAAGATCAATTTTTTGCGAAGATTTTTTCGCTAAAAAAAATTTTGAGCTTGCTCAAAGAAGATTTTTGAGCAAAATAAAAAATATTTTTTGTAAAAAAATCTTCTATAATTTTGAGAAAATATTTTAGAATTTTATAATAAAATAAAATCTTTTGTAAGGAAATCTTTATTAAAACATTTTTGAAATTTTGATCTTAAATTTTTTTGGTAAATTCTTTAATAAAATTTTTGATATATATTTTTTTTTTTATTTTATGTTAATGAAAATATTTTTTTTGAATAGGTTGTAAATGTGAGAATCGGTCATAATACCGACTGCATTTTTTTTGATATTTGGAATAAGTAATAATGATTATTTTAAATATTTTATGTCATAATTTTAATGTTTTATATTTAATGTAAACTATAAAAGTGACAATTGTAATAATACTCATCTCAGAACCTTTAAAAATAATTATAATTAAAAAAGGCTAGTTGAGCATGTTTTGAGATGGTTTCAGTGATTGTAAAGCAAATAAAGGTGACAATTGTCATAATACTTATTTCACATATTTAATTGAAAATAGAGAAAAATGATTATTTGAAACATGAATTAATATTTAATGTGTAAACTATAAAAGTGACAATTGTCATAATATTCATATCAGAACCTATAAAAATAATTTTAGGTATAAAATAGGCAAGAAAAAATTTTTTGAGCATGTTTCGAGATGGTTTTAATGATTTTAAAAATTGTCACAATCGTTATTTTTGAACTTTTTAAAGCAAGTAGATAAAAATTTATTAAATATAAAATTAAATGAGGATGTACCATAGAAAAGTGACAATTGTCATAATCGTTATTTTTGAACTTTTTTGAAGCAACAGAGTAAAATAATAAATTGTAAACATGTTAAATTTAAATGTGGATGTACCATAGAAAAGTGACAATTGTCAATCGTTATTTTTAATCTTTTTTGAATTTTTTGAAGCAAAAGGGTAAAATTATATATTGTAAACATGTTAAATTAAAATTTCAGTGAATATGTACCATAGAAAAGTGACAATTGTCATAATCGTTATTTTTAATCTTTTTTGATTTTTTTTTGAAGAAATTATATATTGTAAACTTATTAAATTAAAATTTCACTGAAGATCTACCATAGAAAAGTGAAAATTGTCTTAATCATCATTTTTAATCCCTTTTAAATTTTTTTGAACTTACAGGATAAAATAATAAATTGTAAACTTGTTAAATTTAAATGTGGATGTACCATAGATAAGTGACAATTGTCATAATCGTTATTTTTAATCTTTTTTGAATTTTTTTGAAGCAAATGGGTAAAATAATAAATTATAAACATGTTAAATTAAAATTTAAATGAGGATGTACTATAGAAATGTGACAATTGTCATAAACGTTTATTTTAATCTTTTTTGAATTTTTTTTAAGCAAAAGGGTAAAATTATATATTGTAAACATGTTAAATTAAAATTTCAGTGGAGATCTACCATAGAAAAGTGACAATTGTCATAATCGTTATTTTTAATCTTTTTTGATTTATTTTGAAGCAAAAATATAAAATTATATATTGTAAACATGTTAAATTAAAATTTAAATGAGGATGTACCATAGAAAAATGACAATTGTCATAATCGTTATGATCATTTTAGAATTTATTTGCTGAAACGAGCAGGTTTTTAGCTGAAGCCCGTCCATGGGCGGCCTAGCTTAATAATTTTAAAAAGTGCGAGCGAATCGGTTACAAAATTTTAACAATTAGCGG